AGGGAAATTCAAGAACTCATAAGCCCCGCCCCTTTTAGTGCTGTGCTCCAATCACAGTTGAGCAAGCCTCGGTCAACTTCCTCCTTTCCTGTACAGTTTGCTATGCTAAGCTAATGTATGTTGGAAACCAGAAGAGAGATTTATATAGTCACATCTATAGCGTTTGTCAACCTTTAGCTAGTTTAAGATGTTACAGTTCATTACCCATGATTCAACCTGGCACATCATTTTTTACAGTGTACTTCCAGTAAACGTGGCGGCGAGTTTAAAAAAAAGTGAGTCTGGACATTACCCAGAATGCAACGTGGTTACTGATCAATATAAAAACATTCTTCATGTTCTGCTGGTGAGAGAAACGTTAGCTTAAAGATGTCTGTTCACTAGAAATGGCTTATTGTCATCGGCGGCTCGGAAAGATGAGTCAGCAACATTTTACAAAAACAATGACGATCTTTCTTCTTCTGCTCGAATCTTTAAGGCTTCGTCGCTCTTTCAACTTTATACACGATAAAAACACGTCGGCTCTGATAGAAAAATAGAGTCATGCTGTAAAGGAGAGAACAGTCGAACACGATGGCTTAGTGCTGCGTTTACGTCACCACTGAGGCTGGGAAATCACACCGCCAGGAAGTGACCACGCCGCCAGGAAGTGACCACGCCGCCAGGAAGTGAGTCAGCAGCCTCGTCGTCACACACAGAAGCGTAGAAACACGTCATCACGAGGAGCTTCGGCTCCGCAGCAACAATAAGAGCAACAACAGGCAGCAACAGTCGGGGGAGAGTCGGGTTACCGTGGCAACCACAGAGCTCAGCTAGCATCAGAAACAACAACAACAACAACAACAAGGCAACAACAGTCTTTTTCAGAAGAAGCGCAGCGCGTCCACAGACTTTAGTAGAAAAACTGCAGCGTTTGTGTTTCTGCTGATTTTAATGTCGCCACAAGTTTCCTAAAAACTTCACAATAAACTCCGTCTGTGTTCACATCAGCAGTCCGGACCTTTCCCTTTAATATCGGTGAGTAATGTGGAAATTAAGACTTATTTCCTGTGAATATTGACCAGAGATGAGTTTTCCAGATTCTCTCTCTGCATTGTGTAAACTGAGAAATCAGCCTATTGTACATATTCAGTTCTTTTACACACCTTAAAATCAAGAAGGCCCTGCGACCCTCTTGTGAAGGTTTGTTGACCCCTAGTTGGGTCCTGAGCCCCGGGTTGGGAACCAGTTCTTCAGACCACGATGTGAACAATCCCTCAGACAACAGTAACGCTGCGTTCCCCAGAGCGGGATAAGATTATTGGTGTGACTAGATTCATTTAAAGTCAATGCAAAGACGTCAACTGAGCGTTTTTACTTTACTATGAGCTATGTTAGCATAGCCCGGATCAACCAAACTCCATTCAGAAAACAAGCATTTTAAAAGTTAGCTTGTCTTCCTGCAGACGGACTGACAGAGTCTGAATTCAGAGTTTGTACAATTCGCCATCATGATGTCGTTATTTCAGCATCATCTGGATCCGTTTATTGACATTAAATCACACAAACATCTGTTTGTGCTCAAACACCAACGACCCCGCGAGTAAACCAGCACGAAGCCAATATTTGTACTGCGATTGGTGGGAACACCTCTAACCTAACCCTAACGCTAACGTTAATCCCCCCCCCCACTCTGCGGAGCATTAAAAGTCTCCACAACAAAACTGAAAACTTGTGGCAACATCTGTGCAGATTTACGACACCGTGAATCCGAGGCTTTCAGGAATAAAACATTCATCGATTGAAGCGGCTCAACGTCTGCAATGAACAGCAAACTGTAAACCACAGCCGGCTCTTCATCAGTTAAACAAAGTGTAAACCACAGCCGGCTCTTCATCAGTTAAACAAAGTGTAAACCACAGCCGGCTCTTCATCAGTTAAATAAACCATGGACCCTTTAAAGGAATGTGAGCAGGTCCCAATACAAACACTCCTCTGTTCTCCTGCAGTTCACTTCGGATGTAAAACGTCTTCACACTCTTCTAGAAAATATACAATCTGTCACATAAAGAGACTTTTATAGAGAAAGAACTTGGCTGTGTAAAAACTCCCAACGAGGGCCTGCAGCAGCATCGTCAACCCTCCTCTGTGACTGGTCGCTTCAAAAAGATCCATGCATAACTGGAGAAAGGCGGCGGCCAATAAGAGCGAAGCAACGACCCTTAAATGGACCCAAAAGTCTTTTCTGAAGGAATCCAGCAGTTTATAAAATGTTCAACTGGTGATAAAAGCTGGTCCCAGGACAGTCAGGAGCCGACAGCAGAATCAAAGTAAAGAACCAACGTCGCACCCAAAACAGGAAATAAATAACCACCATAGAAAATGACTGATGATAAAGAGCAAAAAGCCCAAAAATGTCTTTAAAACGTCCTGTTTCCTGTTTGACGTCTGACTTCAACCCGTCCGTCCGTAGTGAATCAGTGAAACTTAAACGTCTGATCTCACTAATATAATCTGAACCTGCTGCTCGGACGAAAGTCGCAGCCTTCAGTAGAACAACACTCATCCCTCCACGTCGATGCGTTCAGGTGCCGCTACAAGAGCTCGGAAAGAAATGAGGGGAGGCGTTTCAGGAGGATTAAGCCCAGACATCCACCCGCACGTTAAAAATATCAGAGGCGTCTGGCGGCGTTTCCAGATCTGGTTTTAAATCCACTTGTGAAAGGTCCCCATAAACCAGCAGATCTCCCAGTCCTACCAGTTTCTGGTTTTAGTGGAAAGAATCAGTCCAGATCCCTCCGACCCTCCAGGAGGAGATCCTGTGCCTAGTGGGGAGCTCTGTGGGGAACTCAGGGTTTCTGGGGGCCGGGGGAGAGGACCACGGGGGTGGAGAGACCATCGACACTCAGAGCCGGGATGTGGATCTGATTACTGCCGTTAGTGGGAAACTGAGGAGGACACAGAAACACAGTGTTAACACACACACACACACACACACACACACACACACACACACACACACACACACAGTAACAGTAACACAAACACAGTAACACACACACACACACACACACACACACACACACAGTAACACACACACACACACACACACACAGTAACACACACACAGTAACACACACACACACACACACACACACACACACAACAAACAGTAACACACATACACATAGTAACACACACACACACACACACACACACACAGTAACACACATACACATAGTAACACACACACACACACACACAGTAACACACACACACGCACAGTAACACACACACACGCACAGTAACACACACACACACACACACACACACACACACACACACACAGTAACACACACACACACACAGTAACACACACACACACACAGTAACACACAGTAACACACAGACACACACACAGTAGACACCCAGTAACACACACACACACACACACACACACACACACACACACACACACACACACACACACACACACACACAGTAACACACACACACACACACACACGCACAGTAACACACACACATACAGTTTGTTTTCTCATCAGAGGAACAGTCAGTCAGTTGAAGGTCAATCAAGCAGTCCAACCCAGAACAGTAATTAGTTCCACCAATAATCAGTATTTAAAGTACTTAATAACACCATTACTGTTCTACTAATGACTCCACATCCTCTAACTGCAGCTGCTCAACTTACCTGATGTTTCATTCTATATGTATTTAGTAAAATGTTTAATTCTCTCACTGATGTAAAATGATGAACCTATTATGAGCAGAGACTGGGAGTATTATCATTATTATTATTATTATATATTATTCTATCTTATTGTCTGATGCTCCACCTGTTAATCATTTAGAAAGGTGACATGTCTCTGCTGTAAAGTGCTATCAGAGTATCAGAGTAGTTTAATGAAGCACATGAGCTCAGTTTCAGTGAGTATCAGTGAATCTATTATCTGCACAAACCAACATAAATTCCCTCCAAACGCTGACACATGAACCAGCAGCAGAGAGAAGTGAAGCTTTAATAATGATCAGATAACAGATGGAGTACAAACGGAGCCAGAAACCTGCAGAGACCTGGATCAGGTACAGGTACATACAGTGCACTGTGTGTGTGTGTGTCTGTGTGTGTGAGAGAGGACTTTAATGAGAATAAAATGAACTCAGAGTCCCATTAAAAAGCACCTTGATGCTGTTTCCTTCGTACAGTTGTTGATGTGACACCTGCAGCAGTATCTGTGTGACTGTGTGAACAATGTTTGTTCTCTGTGAACAACCTGCAGCTTTCACTTTCTATTTAAAGTCTCCATGAAGTCACAACCAGTGTTTCAGTGTGTTTATCTCCTCTGTCTTTATACGTCTCCACTTTCTGTCCAACAGGGACAGGAAGTCCTGTTTCAGGTATTTTAGAGTTTCCTGATAATCAATAAAAGTATTTGATGACTGTTGAGTGTTTCTGAGGGCCGTTACAGACATCAATGGCCTACTTTATACAGGGCTCCAGAGTGCGACCAATTTTTAAGAGTGTGACTAATAATTGTTCTAGGTCGCACCGGTGCACCTGACGCTGCCCGGGTGAAAACATAAATTTATTTCGCAAGCGCATTATCTCTCTGTGTTCTCCTGTGACCGAACTCACACACTCATGGTAGGATCATATCAGGTTCTAAACCAATAAGAGACAGAGCTCGGGCGGGTCTTTGCCTCTGATTGGCTGTGGTCCTGTTCACCGCGCTAAATTGCGTGTGTTTAAAAATTGCGCGCGACCTGAGCGCGAGAGTAGCTGACTAACAGTAACGGAATAATAAAATAAACACGACAAAACGAGGGAAAATGAAGAGAGGCAGAAATATTGAAAGTTTTTTCATTAAGAAAACCAAGCCTACAACCAGCCCTACTTCTATAGTCCCATCCATCCCCACTACTGAGAGTCCATCCCGTCAAGACACGGAGCCCTCGGTTCCTGGTGAGATACCAAGCCCCGGTCCTTCTGCGACAGCATCAGACTCGGAACCAGAGGAGGAGACAACCGAGTCTGGGATAGAGCCCGGCTCCGAGACCCAAATTAAAAAGGCCAAAATATATTCCTTCATACAGGACTGGCTGAAACAATTTCCCTGGCTGAGGTTCAACAAAGGACGTAACGCAACGCACTGCGTGTACTGTGAGGAGTGCAGTCAGAAAATATTAATATTACCCCTCTAGAACACTACGTTCTCTGAATGCTGGGCTACTTGTGGTTCCTATAGTCTCTAAAAGTAGAACAGGAGCCAGAGCCTTCAGTTACCAAGCTCCTCTCCTGTGGAACCAGCTTCCAGTTGTGGTTCGGGAGGCAGACACCCTCACCACATTCAAGAGTAGGCTTAAGACATTCCTCTTTGATAAAGCTTATAGTTAGGGCTGGATCAGGTGAGTCCTGAACCATCCCTTAGTTATGCTGCTATAGGCCTAGACTATCGGGGGATTTCCCATGGTGCACTGAGCTACTCTCTTCCTCTCTCTTTCTGCACTCATTCATGTCCCATTAATGCATGTTACTAACTTCACTTCTTCCCCGGAGTTCTTGTGCTTTCTCGTCTCGCAGGTTCTTATTGATCCTGGTGGAGCCTCCTGCCATGGTCCTGCTAGATTGCCATTGCCAATACTGTTGTTGCTATGCACCTGTCTGTCTGTCTGTCTCTCGCTCTCTCTCTCTGTCTCTCTCTCTCTCTCTCTCTCTCTCTCACCCCAACTGGTCGAGACAGACGACCACCCACCTAGAGCCGAAGGATCTGTCCTAGGTTTCTGCCTTTTAACAGGCAGTTTTTCCTTGCCCTTGTCTCCAAGGTCTTGCTCATGGTGGTACTGTTGGGTCTCTGTAATTAATGTTAAAGAGTTCGGTCTAGACCTGCTCTATTTGAAAAGTGTCCTGAGATAACTTCTGTTATGAATTGGCGCTATACAAATAAAATTGAATTGAATTGAATGGTGAGCCGGTCAACAACGTTTCATATTGAAACTTTAAAAAAACATAACGTGTCTAAAAAACACACGATATGCCGTGGCCCCTCTCCCAGCTGCATTTCAGCAACAGGTAGTAGTAATCAGGTGCTCTTTTATTTGGAAATGTTTTATTTTGCTTAGTGCTTTAGTTTGAAATGTTCAATTTCAGCTCAGTAAAGCACTTTAAACACTTTATTTTTCTTTTTATATATAATTGTGCTTCAAATAAAGACAAGCCTTTCTCTACACCTTATTCTTCTTTAAAAATCATTCACATTATATGAAAGTTATGGAGAGCGATAAAAAGGTGACCGTATGGTGTTAAAGGGCGACCCAATGAAAAATTTGGGTGCACCTAAATTTTGTGCTAAAAGTTAGGTGCACCAGTGCAACCAATGCAAAAAGTTAGTCTGGAGCCCTGTTATAGCTACATGAGCTAGTTAGCTAGAATTGCTGTTGGCTGCTGTAAACAACAATCAATATGTGCGACACTGCAGGAATGGCAGAAGTGGGCTCGGTTGTTACCTGGAAGGAGAGCTTGGCCGGGGAGCGAGGAGCGATGGGACTGAGCGTGCTCCAGAAATGGATGGTGGAGGGAAGAGGACTGGGAGTCAGCAGGACCGGAGTCTGGACACACAGACACACCAAAATTTATCAGAACAAAACAAAGTTCTCACAGTTTTATTCTTCAGACAGACAGACAGACAGACGGACAGACAGACAAGTGAGAGCGTACCAGAGCGTGGGAGGTGATGACAGTCGGTGTGAGCGTGTTGGTCGCTGATCCAGGAGCCAATAAACTGTTAACGGCCGCGTTCACCTGCAGAGGAAACACAGGATGTGATGTCACCACGGGATTCCCAATCCTGGAAGCTCATTGAATTCACTGGTTAATAATCGTTAACACAACCAATCAATTAATCAGTGAACGAAACTGGTTAATAACAGTCAGACCTTATCCAGGGAGAGGCCAGGGGGGAGGGAGGGGGAGGACGGCAGCTCGAGGCCCCGCGGCTTCTTTGGTTTGGGAGGAACGGACTCCGAGGTCGAGGTCACCGTTGGGGTCACTGCTGAGGAGGATATCACAGGAGGGAGGGAGGGATCTGACAGAGACAGAGAGAAACTCCTCTGAACACACATTATTAATGTTTAAATGGATCAATATCAGCTGGAACCAAACCAATGCCTTCATAACAATATCATCATGTTTACTTAGGAAACACAAAGGCTGATAATGATCCTGATCAATAATCAATACTCCCATTATAAAGCATCAATCAACCTGATCAGCCTTCAGCAGTTAGCTAGTGTTTCTGTAGTGGAGACTAAACGTTAACAATGATCCATATCAGCAGTTTGAATCCAACTAAAAGCTCCCTGCACCAAACTCCCTTTAAGAAATATCACATTTTAACAATTCCTAACGTGTTCGTAACAACACGTAACTCTAGAAACACGAGCTAAAGGCCGTCATATGTCCACAGTCTGACTGTCAATACAGGATCAATATCATCCATAAAGATACAGTGTATACTGATCAATATCATCCATAAAGATACAGTGTATACTGATCAATAATCAATAAAGATACAGTGTATACTGATCAATATTGATCCTTTCCCAGCTGGTTGGTGGATCAGCTCCTTAATAAAAACACTTCCTGTTACCTGTTGATGTGTCCTTGCCCTCGCCCACTGCGCCCCCCTCCCCTGCAGGCTGCTGACCTCCGACCCCAGGCTCCATGCAGGGAGGGGGCGGGCTCTCCCTGATGGTGAGGGGGGGCTCTGGCTGCCTCGAGCCGCAGACGAGCTGAGGAACCTGCAGACCAGATTCTGATTGTTGAATTTGTTTAAATCAAAGAACAACAAACAGGAAGAAGATAACTCCTCCCACCTCCTCCACCTGTTTGTCCTCCATAGACACCATCCGCAGCAGCTCCTCCTCCGACGGCGGGTTCTCCTCCTTGATGACGATGGGGGGAGGAGGAGGACGGGCGGGGGGAGGAACAGAGGCAGGAGCAGCGACAGTGGGAGGAGCCGCTGCCGCCTGCTGCTGGGGGGGAGGGGGGTTGATGATGACGAAGACAGGTGGGTGAGTCGGGTGAGGAGCAGTGTGGGAGTGAGGGGGGAAACCGGACGGGTTGCCGACTCCCCCGCAGTCGTCCTGCTGCGGCCCCTGGGGGCCCATCGACACGTGGGGGGGAGGGACGGGACTCACCGACCCCCCGGGACCCAGGGGGAGGAGGGGGGTGAGAGACGATGGGTCCCCGACGCTGGTCAGATAAATCTGAGGAGGGTCGGTCAGAGGAGGATTCTGGGAAATATTAATGTTAGTGAGGTTCAATAGCTGCTGTCATATTCCTAAATGTGTTAATCAATACTCTTATTGATCAGTCATATTCCTAAATATGTTAATCAATACTCTTATTGATCAGTCATATTCCTAAATGTGTTAATCAATACTCTTATTGATCAGTCATATTCCTAAATGTGTTAATCAATACTCTTATTGATCAGTCATATTCCTAAATGTGTTAATCAATACTCTTATTGATCAGTCATATTCCTAAATGTGTTAATCAATACTCTTATTGATCAGTCATATTCCTAAATGTGTTAATCAATACTCTTATTGATCAGTTATATAAATGTTCTATACTTTAAGAACACCAGATACTGACCTGTGATTGGCTGGCTGATATCTGTGGACTGAGAGTCGGAGTCGGACACGGAGACGCCTGAGTGACAATCACCTGGAGGGCGGAGTCAACAGCGCCACCTACTGAAGGAGCGGACTCTGATAATACACAGACCTGAGGAAGAGGAGGAGGAAGGAGAAGGAGGAGGAAGAGGAAGAGGAAGAGGAGGAGAAGGAGAAGGAGGAGGAGGGGGAGAAGGAAGAGGAAGAGGAAGAGGAGGAGGATGAGGAGGAGGATGAGGATGAGGAGGAAGAGGAAGAGGAAGAGGAAGAGGAAGAGGAGGAGGAGGAGGAGGAAGAGGAAGAAAATAAATGAGGTTAGAGGAATATTCAGAGCGGAGGCACAGATTGAGTTCGTCTGATTAATAATCTACAGAATTAGTTTCTGCCAGTAAAATAAATTAAGAAAACTATGAAAACTTTTATTTCAAAATATAAATGTCTGTCTGTCTGCCTGCCTGTCTCTCTCTCTCTCTGCCTGTCTATCTGTCTCTCTCTGTCTGTCTGTCTCTCTCTCTCTCTCTGTCTGCCTGTCTGTCTCTCTCTCTCTGCCTGTCTATCTGTCTCTCTCTGTCTGCCTGTCTCTCTCTCTCTCTCTCTCTGCCTGTCTATCTGTCTCTCTCTGTCTGCCTCTCTCTCTCTCTGCCTGTCTGTCTCTCTCTGTCTGTCTCACCTCTCTGGGCGTGTGGTCGACCTTGGGGGGCGGGGTCCTGTTGCAGCAGCAGCTCTGTTTTGATTGGCCGAGGGTTGGGCGAGGCCTGCAGTGATTGGATGGTGAAGGTGGAGTAGAGGCCGGACTTCATGTAGTCGTTACGAGAGCTCTTCTGGGAGCTGCTGGGTGACGAGCGCTGGGGATCAATACAGAAATCAATCGATCACTCTTACATTAATGTCACTGTGTCCTGCAGAACCCAACAGAGAACAGAGGGTACCTGGGGTAAGCCCTTCGACGGACAGGTTGAGGTCACGCCCCCGAGGGTTTTTGATTGGCTGTTGGGGTCGGCGGCGTCCCTCCTCTGGGCGTCCTCGCCGTTGCGTACGCCCTCGGGGAGGGAGGGGTCGGGCTGGCTGACAAACTTGTAGACAAACTTCTGACCGCTCACCTTCTTTATGATGTTCTGAAAGCAACACACAGACGTTCTCCCAGCGTTAGGAAGGAACCGCGAACACGCCACAAACAGGAAGAACTAATAAAACAACACAGTTCCTTTTCCACCGCACACGTGCAGACGCTGCTACGGCTAATGCTGATTCTATTGCTAAGAGTACGACCTTGTGGTAGGACTATCAGGATGTTTGTCATAGATCATGTTGTGTGTGT